CTCTCTCTCTCTCTCTCTCTCTCTCTCTCTCTCTCTCTCTCTCTCTTTCTTTTCTTTTCTTTTTTTTTGAGGCAGAGTCTTAACTATATAGCCCAGGCTGGCCTTGTTTATGATCTTCCTGCTGGATTACAGGCATGCACCACCATACTTGGATGGTTTTGTTTATTGAGAGGGAGTCTCAGCATTGTTTCTCAGGCTAGCCTTGTACCCCTGGACTCCAGCGTTCTTCCGTCTTTCTGACTGGTAGCTGGGGCTGCAGATATGTGACATTTTGTCTTTTCAGGGGGGTCTCTTTATCACACCCTTATGCTAGCCACTACTGGTTAGCTATCTGAAACTTAGGTTCCAGTAATTGGTTGTAGGTTCTGACACCAGCTAGTAAGAAGTCTCTTGGTTCTTGGTATGGTTGTGTTTTTATTCACAGACTACTACTTAAGGTATCTGTACATTATTCTTCATTAAACAGGGAAATTAGTAAGTGGCTATTTAGGAAAGATACTTTTAAAATCAGCACCAAAGTGCTATGTTCTGAGTGTAACAGATGAATTGACTATCTAGGGAGAGAGAATGGTGAGGAAAATCAGTCATGTTCTTTCTTAGCGAATACTGGTATTTAAATTTGAGTGGTTTTAGAGTTTGTCCTCCATGGAAGTATTCTTGATTTGTCAGTAGCATAGTTCACTATAGCAGTCAACATAACATGGCTTTGGAAATTAGGACAGAGACTTTTTGTGTCTGTTGAGGAAAACTACCACATGCTTACACAAACTAGGTCCTGATCAAATTTTAGCAGAACTAAATTACACTGACGTCTGTTGTTAGTCCTAGTCTCCTTCTCTCTGAATGTCCTTCTGGCTCTCCATTTTCCCACCCCTTTCATTCCCTCAGCTATTTCATGCAGACAGTATTCTCCAATGAAGCCCCTGTGTGACTGAGATAACCATAATTTTTAATTCTTTTGAAGAGCCAACTAATGCCTGCCTCATAGTGGGAGGAAATTGAGGAGCCTGACCGGTCAGTACATAAATGACACTTGTCTGTAATTTGGCCTTCAAGTTCTGCTTTCTTTAAGTGGAAGAATTTAATTTATTCCCAGTACTTCTCACCCCTCACTGGTGTCTGGAATATCTTCATCTCCTTCCCACTGGAGGCTACATGCTGCAAGCTGCACTGTTGAGGAGTCTCATCAGCCCTGATTTCAGTTGAGAGCCTGGGGCTGCTTCTCTTGATTTCAGAGACTGGATTCCAGATGAACACAGAGGCTGACATGCCACTGTTTCTTACTAGCCACTTTGGATAAGAAAGTAATTCTGTGGCAGCACACACCTTTAATCCCAGCACTGTGGAGGCAGACAGGCAGATTCTGTGAGTTCAATTAGTCTGGTCTATATAACAAGTTATGGGCTAGCCAGTGTCTTTAAATAAAACTACAAAAACTCTTATAATATGGTTTATATTTTCCTTTTACCAATAAATGAGTTTGACCTAAGAATAAATTGATTCTTTTTGGAAGGAAAAAGAGAGTTCTCTTGCTTTTTCAAATCCTTGCAAGGAGTTTTTGAAGGATCTGGCTTCAAGATTTAACTGATTCTTGATAGAGCTGGGATGAGTAAGTTAATGGTACTCAATTATTGGAGGCAGATGGGTACGTGTTGTCTGCTGTGACCTACCCTAATTCAGGAAGTCATGCCCTGAGTTATGCCTCATGACTCAAACAACCCTGGGTTGACTGTGAATTAAGGGAAGAAGAAGAAGAGTCATAAGATGAATTACTTGGTTAGCATATCTGCTTTTCTTACTTTAAATTACCAGTTTGGTTTCTGGATGGAATGAGATAAGTAAATCCAGAGGGCCTAAGGTTCTGTGAAAGAAACCATTCAGCATCTAGGCTTGGTGCAACACACTTTTAACCCCAGCACTCGAGTGGCAGAGGAGGTGGATCTCTTGAGTTTGAGGTCAGAGGGTCTACACAGCTGTGTTCCACACCAGCCAGGGATGCACAATAAGACCCTATCTTCACAAACACAAAACCAGGAAAACAGATTAATTACTGTAGCCTAGAGAAAATGAATTGTGGCCTCTCTTCTCTTAAGCCTTTGCCTATCAGAATTAAGAGAACCCCAATTCTAACCACATTCTTTTTCCTGCTATGATTTTTGTTTCCTCTTTGGTTGCTTTGTTACTAGATTGTGTTTCTTAAACTTTTTTTCAAAGTTTTGTTAACATCCAAGAGATGGGATAATAAGTCTAATAGAGGAATGGGTCAATGATAACAATTTTCTTAACTTCATTCCATAATACTTCATGTTCTTTGTTTTCTCTGCAAGACTGAAAGCCAGCCAGCCCAGCAATCCTCCTGTCTCCACCCATTTTGGAGCTGAGGTTACAGGCATTTGCAGGGAATCTCAGCTTGCTACTTGGGTTCCAGGACCTAAGTTCTGATCCTCACAGTTACAAAGCAAGCGCTCTTAACTGCTGAGCCATCCTCTCCAGCCTTTAATCTTTATGTAATTGATAGAAATGACAATATTTACACATACACACACCCTGGAGGTTGGAATTTGATGGTACTAAGTTTCTGGCATACTATAATAAAGTATTAATGGGATAAATGGAACAGGGATTCTTACAATAAAATATAATCCATTATAAAGTAATATTTCATTTTTGGGAAAAGGATTAATTTTAGGCTATTGATATATAGTGGGTTATATCTTTTTAGAGAGGACAAAGCAATGCTGTTTTAGCATGGAATTGTTGCCCATCAATATGTGTTAGCAAGCTAGATGGTGATGGTGTATGCCTGTCATCCCATCACTTGGGAGGCAGAGGCAGGTAGATCTCTGTGAGTTTGAAGCCAGCTTGGTCTACAAAGCAAGTTTCAAGACAGCAGGACTGTTAACACAGAGAAACTCTGTCTCCAAAAACAAAACAAAAGATGTATTACCAAGCTGGCTTCTGGGTTTTGCTCCTAGAAGCATACAAAGGCATTTACTTTGAAGCAGAGTCACAGCAGAGAAGAGTGATGGGAAACACGGGAGTGAAACAAGAAGAATGAGGAGTCTTGCTGTCTTTGGCCATAGCTCTTTCTAGCAGCCTGTCTCCACTGAATCAAAGGCCTCATAATGCTAACTAAGTGTGTGATCTGCTACTCAGCTTCTCCCAGACTTCCAAATCACCTTCCCTGTCCTCTTTTTCTTTTGTCCATGTAGAAGATTGTTGCTGTCTTCAAACCCAAGAATGAAGAGCCATACGGGCACCTTAATCCTAAATGGACCAAGTGGCTACAGAAGCTGTGCTGTCCATGCTGCTTTGGCCGTGACTGCCTTGTCCTCAACCAGGGCTATCTCTCAGAGGCAGGGGCTAGCTTGGTGGACCAAAAACTGGAACTCAACATTGTTCCCCGTACAAAGGTCAGTGACTCATTTCTGGGAGCTTTAGTGCTTTGCTAAAGGTTTGCTGGGCCCTGACTTCTATTAGTGGAACAGAGGTCCAGGGAAGTCTTGTTTAAATCTGAGATAGTCAGCAGCCTTTTGGGGGTAGGTGGTAGGAATAGGCTTACAGTTTGATCATCTGATAAAAGCTATTCTCAGAAGGACACATAACATTTTATATACAATCTTATGAATCTCACAGGTGCTTTATGTGCTTCCTTGGTCTTTGTATCCCAGGCAGTCACAAGCTGGTTATAAACTGCTCATTCACAAAGACTTTTGGATCAAGATTTAGTACACAGTTTCTCAGTTTCTTTTTTTCCTTCCTTCTCCCATTTCTTTCTTTTTTTTTTTTTAAATAAAAATGATCCTGTGTGTGTGTATCTCCATGTGTGTGTGTGCTCATGTATGCAAGTGCCAACAAAGACCAGAAGAAGGCATTGGATCCTTGAGCTGGAATTCCACGTAATCTGAGTCTCCTCATATGGGTGCTAGGAACCGGACTCCACTCCTGGAAGAGCATCAAGTGCTCCTAACCACTGAGTCATGTCTCCAGTCCCTCTTCTTTTTAAGGGATGAGGTCTTGTCATGTTGCCCAAAAGAGTTTTAAACACAGTATCTTCATGTGATCTACCTGCTTTAGCCTCCCAAGTACCTGAGTCTATAGAGTATGCCACCATGCCTGCCTTATGCAAGGTTTGGTAAAGAGAATTTGGTTGGGCTGAGGGTTGGAGTAAAATATCTGTCTCAACTCCCTGCAAAAGACTAACATGGGATTTCCCTCACCTACCTTCATGCTGTGGAATCCTGGGGCTGGTCTGAGTATATCAGAATAGAGGTCCTGGCCTGGGTGTGCTAGAACACTTACTCAGCATGTGCAAGGCCTGGGTCCAATCCACAACACCACAAGGAATGAAGGAAGAGGGAGAATGGGAGGGGAGAGGAGGGAGAAGGAAAGGACCAGTTCTAGACAGATTCACATATAGTGTTGATTTACACATCCCTTGTATGTGTTGTGATATGTTAGTTGAGATTATGATAAAGAGTTAGGATCATATTCCCCTTTCCAATTTGAAACAGTGCTTGAATCCATACTTGATTTCATATGACTTCAGGGGATTTACTGACACTAGTTTAAGAACATCTCCTATGATAATTTTTGCTTCAGACTCTGGTCCCTCACCTGAAATCCTCTTAGATTAGGCCCATCCTACACTGTAGAAGCCTTTTTTGCATTCCCTGCTCAGTGTTCTATCATTTCCTCTCTTTGCTAGGCAAGTAGCACAGAGCCACAACCGTTTCCTGGCTTGCTCTGCTGGTGCTTCCAGGGTGCAGTGCCTAAGGGTCTGAGGCTTGAGTTTGAATTCTGCTCAGTATCTTTTTCTCTTACTGGAGATGGAGTCTTGTTATGTAGCCCAGGCTGGCCTTAACTTGTAATTTTCCTGCCTCAGCTTCCTGAGTGCTGAGATCATAGCATTGGCCTCTAGCTTTTTATTTGTGTGACTCATGGGCAAAGCAGTGAGTCCCCTAGTGCATGTTCAGTGTCTTCCCTGTAAAACTAGAGCTAGATAGAGTTATTATTTAGTAGTGTGACTATCAAATTATACAAGATTATCTATATAAAACACACAGTCTAGTGCCTGGCCTGGCATAATGTAAATGCTCTATGTATCTTGTGATTTTTTTTTTTAAATATCTTTAGTTTTTTGAGAATTACATATTTCTCATTTCTCCCTTCCCTTGTTTGTACACCCCTCTTTGTTCTTTTTCAAATTCATGGCCTCTTTGTCTTTAATCATTTGTGTGTGTGTGTGTGTGTGTGTGTGTGTGTATAAACCATGTTCAGTCTGTATGATGTTCTTTTAATAGATGTTGTCAAGGCTGTACATTTGGTTTTGGATAACCAGTTGGTGCTCTTGCCTGGGAAAGGCTGTTTTCTCGCTCTCAGTAGTCCTTAGTTGCCTGTAGTTCTTTGTCTAGGCTTGAGGCCTCATGTGCTTTTCCCCCTTCCACGTTAGCTTGTCTATTTGTTGTGTCCTTGTTCAGCTCAGGTTTAGGTAGCCATTTTAGTGATACTTCATGGACATAGCTTCTGACATTTCTAGAAGACAGTCAGTCTCACAGCAGGCTCCCTGTTCCTCTGGCTCTTTCAGTCTTTCTGCCCCATGTCCACAATGATCTCTGAGCCTCATGTGTAAGAGTTGCCATTTGCCGGGCGGTGGTGGCGAATGCCTTTAATCCCAGCACTCGGGAGACAGAGGCAGGGGATCTCTGTGAGTTTGAGGCCAGCCTGGTCTACAGAGCGAGATCCAGGACAGGCACCAAAACTACATAGAGAAACCCTGTCTCGAGAAACAACAACAACAAAAAAAGAGTTGCCATGTATGTAGATGTATTAGTTGAGACTATGCTTCACATCTCTGCACTTTGATCAGTTATAGTTTTTCATAATGGTCTCTGTGGCCAAGATAAGTTTGCTTGATGAGGGGTCTTGCAGTGTTTGTATAAGCTGTTGTAATTATTAGGTACCCCTACAGCTCCTTCATTAGGGAACATAAATGAGTTCTTAGGACCTCCTACATCAGAGTCAACAACACAAAACACTTGTCTTCCATGAGGCTGAGATGAGACAGGAATATAAGAGGAATCTCTTCCCTTTGCTGCCTGCCCTATTCTTGTGACAGGATTCTGTCTGGTTGATCAGATCATCTGTCACTATGGAAACAGGGCCCACGATGTGAAGGTGCTTCAAGAGTAAAGTTCTAGTTCCCAGTCACTGACTTTTGCTTCTTGTTCCTGTGAGGTAGTGAGAGTTTCCTCATTAGTCATGCAGGGAAGAGTGGTGTGCTGGGAAGAATAGTTGTAAATAAACCTGTAGCAGGGAAAAGATGCTTTAGAGCTTGAACAAGCTCAAGTGGAAACTGGAAAAATAGGTTTTCTTCTTTTTTGTTTATTGAGACAGGGTTTCTCTGTGTAGCCGTAGCTGTCTTGGAACTCGCTTTGTAGACCAGGCTGGCCTTGAACTCACAGAGACCCACCTGTCTCTGCCTCCCCAGTGCTGGGATATGCCAAGGCTCACATGACGTCAGAGGACAACTTGTGGGAGTCCATGCTGTCTTCACAGTTACAGGTTCTGGGGACCAGACTCAGGTGGTCAGACTTGGTGGCAAGAACCCCTACCCACTGGGCTGTCTCACCAGCCCGTTTTCTTTTCTTTGTGGCTCTTTTCTTCCCTCCTCTCTTTTTCTCCCTCTCCTCCCCTCCTCTCCCCTCCCCTTTTCCCTTTTGTTTTCTTTCTCCCCTTTTGTGTTTGAGACCAGGTCTCACATATAGCTCATTGTGGCCAGAAACTATGTAGACCACGCTGGCTTCAACCTTGTGTGGAACTCCCTGTCTTTGCCTCTTAAATGCTGAGATCACAGACATGTATTCCCATGTTCAAGTCATTCCTATCACAAGGGATATGATATCATTATATGGTGTGGCTTTGCCATCTCAGAACCCTTCATGTACAGCTTCACAGGTAAGGAAATATGAACCGAAAGAATTGTGGAAGATTCTAGAGGCCAGGCTCAGAAGTGATGTGTATATATATATCATTTTATCAACATTCTATTATTCAAAATTAGCCATATTGACTACCCTGGGCCATAAGACTGAGAAATGCTTTTTGTTTTTTTGAGACAGGGTTTCTCTGTGTAACTTTGCGCCTGGCCTGGAACTTGCTCTGTAGACCAGGCTGGCCTTGAACTCACAGAGATCCGCCTGCCTCTGCCTCCCAAGTGCTGGGATTAAAGGCGTGTGCCACCACCGCCTGGCGAGAAATGCCTTTTCTTCCCTGGAAGAAGAACAGTATTTGATCATCCAGCTGTTCTCTGCCACAGTGGTCTCTTTCTTAAACTTAACTCTAACCTAAACGTCTTTTCTCTTTCCTCTGTAGGTAGTATACCTGGCCAGTGAAACCTTCAACTACAGTGCCATTGACCGAGTGAAGTCCAGGGGCAAGCGGCTTGCGCTAGAGAAAGTGCCAAAAGTTGGGCAGCGGTTTAACCGAATCGGGCTACCACCAAAGGTAAGGGTTGTCCCTGTGTGACATGACAAAGTTGACGGTCTGGTGGCATAGTCACTCAGGGAAACAGGGACCCACAGGCTTGAACTGGTCCTGTGAATGACTGCCCTGAGGCTCTTGTCTCTCACTTCTGTCAGAGATCTCAGGGTTGAGAAATAGCTCTCCAAGGACTATAGCCCTAACAGTCCTCACTTTATTCCTCTGGAGTCTAGACCATTTGGATAGACTTCTTCAGCTTGGGTGGATGAGTCTTTCCCACTCCCTTCCTCCTGTACTTAGAAGGAAATGAAGGCAGGAGAAATGCTCCTTTTCTTTGATGAAAGGCCACAGGGCCTTTGTGGGTCTCTGGCTTACTCCTGGGGTCTTTTACTTGGCCTCTGCAGAAATGATTTTGTTCCTTCCATTGGGTTGCAGGTCGGGTCATTCCAGCTCTTTGTGGAAGGCTACAAAGATGCAGACTATTGGCTGCGGCGTTTTGAAGCAGAGCCTCTCCCTGAGAACACTAACCGACAGCTGCTGTTACAGTTTGAGCGGTTGGTGGTGCTGGACTACATCATCCGCAACACTGGTGAGCAGCCCGGGGTGCTCCCATGCCTTGTGCCAGACTGTGAAGGTTGAGATGGGCCTGGAGGGCTGCAGGAACCGGAGTCAGGACCCCGTGACGATGGTGTTATCCTGTGTTCGAATGGGGATTCATATTTAGAGAGGGCCTGGCAGACCAATTTTCTGGGTTCCATTTTGTCCATATATAGCATCTGCAAGTTACTAGAGGTAGTGAGGCCTGGAGTCAGGATTTACCTGGCTTTTCCAAAACAGTGAAAAGTGCATTCATTCTTGATTCCTAGTCATTCTTAGAGATTGAATAAGGCAGTATTATCCTTCTATGAACTTTTTGAAAAGATTCTTGTCTTGGGTCATTGCTTTTCTTTTGTTGTTTGTTAAAGCAGGGTTTCTCTGTGTATCCCTGGCTGGCCTGGGACTCAATATGTAAACCAAGCTGGCCTTGAACTCACAGAGATCCACCTGCGTTTGTGTTGCCAAGTGCTGGGATTAAGTAGGCCATGGCACCTGGAATGATTTTTTTTTTAAATATGCTGGTGAATTTGAATTCATCAGACCTGACCAAGTTTACATGTAGTAGGGAGTTTTTGATACTCATATATCTCCTTAGGAGATTTTCTGATTCTTTGTGGTTTAATCATGGCAGGTTTTGTGTGTCTAGGACTTTTTCCATATCATCTGGGTCATTGAGTTTGTCATAACTTTGTTTTTAGTGTTAAATTCTTTTTATTTTTATAGAATTGTTGGAAATATTTGTGCTTTCATTTTTGAGCTTTTTTTTTTTTTCTTATTCCATCTAACTAAAAGTTTGTCCCTTGTGTTGGTTTGCTTGTGTGTTTTGCAGTTTTTTTTGTTTTGTTTTGTTTTGTTTTTTTCGAGACAGGGTTTCTCTGTGTAGCTTTGCGTCTTTCCTGGATCTCACTCTGTAGACCAGGCTGGCCTCGAACTCACAGAGATCCTCCTACCTCTGCCTCTTGAGTTCCTGGATTAAAGGCATGCGCCACCACAGCCCGGCATGTTTTGGGTTTTGAGATATGATTTGACCATGTGACTTTGGCTGTCCTGGAAGTCTCTTATGTGGCTCAGTCTGGCCTCAATCTCACCAAGATCCTCTGCACCTGCCCCCGTAAGTGCTGTGACTACAGGCATGTGCCACCATGGGTAACTGGTGGTCTTACGAGCAGCTTTTGGTGTCACAGTGTCTCTAATTTTTAATTTTTATTGATCCCCTGTTCAGTGTATTTCTGCTCCAGTGTTTCATCCTTCCATCGGTAGCTTTCGCTTCAGTTTGTTCTTTTTCTACTTCTGCACAATAGAAGGTGAAGCTGTGGATTTGTAAGCTTTCTCATTTTGCAGTGCGAGCATTCATAGCGATAACTATCACTAAACACTGTAAGGTGCCGTTGTGATTTCTTCTTTCATCCATTGGTTATGCAATTTTGTAAATTTTCTGTTTTCCTTCTTTTGAGGGGGCTTGGAGGTGGGGGGACGACAAGGTTACATCTTGTATCCCAGGCTGTTCTGGAACTTGCTGTGTAGCTCAGGCTAGTCTAGAACTCATTGCACTATTTCTGCATTCCTGGAATTCGGGCATGAGCCCCTGTGCCCAACTTTCTAGTTTTCTATTTGCTATTGCTTGGTTACTAACTTTATTCCATAATTTTCTTTTATTCATAGTTTTGCTCTCTGTTGTTTCTGTTACCTGTGGTTAACTGGTCTGAAAATATTAAATGGCAAGGTCCAGAAATAAATAATGCATAACTTTTATATAACTAAAAAAAAAAAAAATCCATTCTGAGTAGCTTCAAATTTCTTGCTGTCTCACCCAGGATGTGAATCATCCCCTTGTCCAGCATTTCTGCATTGCAGAATTTCTTGTCTGTCAGTCAGTTTTAGTGATCTTAGTCCCTCAGCTGTTGCCATAAGAATCCCTTATTTTGCTGAATGGTAGGTCCTAAATACAACAATTGGGGCACACCAGAGAAAAGCTGTAAAGTAGTTCCTTTAAGTGAAAAGATAACTTGATCAGCATATGGATGTGAGGGGGAGGGGAAAACAGTCTCTGGTTTGGTACTCCAGCTGCAGGCATTCACTGGAGTCTTGGAACACACCCTTTTGGTTAAGGGGGACCTGTCCTTTGACTGTTGTTACCTGTTGTTTGAGAATCTATTGACAGTCTGTGGCTTTGATCTGACCATCCTGGAAAAAGTCTCATGAACAGTGAGAAGCAAGTGTGAGGAGAAGAGGAGAATTGTGTGTGTATGTGTGTCTGTTAGACCTTGCCTAACAGGGCTGGGCTCTTCTGTGCACATCCCTTTGAAGAATAATTAAAGTAAGAAAAGGAAACCAGAACACAAGGATATATGCAAGTGCTGAAATTAGAAAACCAGGCACAGGCTGGGCATGGTGGTGCACATCTTTAATCCCAGCATCTTAGAGGCAGGGGCAAGCACATCTTCAGTTCAAGGCCAGCTTGTTCTACAGAATGAGTTCCAGGACAGCCAGGGCTAGTTTGAAAAACCAAATAGGTAACAAATAGTAGGCAAATCTTTGTCTCTGTTTAGTTTCTGTGCTGTGATGTTTTTAATAAAAATCACTGGACGGTGTCTTAAAAAACACTATTCAAGTGTCATAGTACCCAAAGTGTCTCATGGGAAAAAGTAGTTTTTGTTTTGTTTTAAAATAGGGTCTCACTGGCCTCAAACTCGGAGATCTGCCTGCCTCTTCCTCCTGAGTGCTGGGGCTAAAGGTGTGTACCATTGCACCTCACAAAAGTTCGTCTGGTAAAATGATCTAAACAAGGTCCACCTACTACATTTGGTTAATGCATTCCATAGTATCGTTCATTCTGAAAAAGCCCCATCAACCTCCCATTTTCAGTTTGTTGAAGCAACTGGGCACTTGTTCTGTAGAATCTTCCTATTGACAGATTGAGTATATCCCATTCCCCATGTTTCTTTCAGATTGATGCTAGGTCTAAAGACTTGGTAAAATTCAGGTTTGAGGTTTGTTTGTTTTTGTTTTTCTAGGGGTGGGGTTCCTCTGTATGTCCTTGAACTCAAAGAGATCCACTGCCTCTGCCTCCTGAGTGCTGGGATTAAATGTGTGTGCTGCTACTACAGGGCTCAGGATTGAATTTTTAATAAAGTTCATTTTGTTCAAAAATGGTATGACAAAATAGTATTAACAAATTCCCATGGGGTTGGGTATAGTGGTAAAACCTTTTAATCCTAGCACTTGGGAGGCTGAAGCAGGAGGATTGTAAGTATCTTACCGTATTGTTTGTGTGTTGAGATAGTCTCTTTGTGTAGCCCCAGCTGTCCTAGCACTCTACACCAGGCTGGCCCCAAACTCACAGAGGGCCGGCCACCTCTCTACCTGAGGGCTGGGACTAAAGGTGTGCACCACCCAGCCACATACATTTTGATTCATTTATTCACTTTCTGTCCTTATTTACTTTGATGCTCAAATCGTCCCTGATTTGGCCGTGCTCCTGCGCTCTTTTGATTGTATCTGTCAAGCACTTCCTTAATTTCGGGCACAAGATGTTCTGGGTTCATCTTCTAGTCTCGAGCTGGAATCCACCATTTCTCTGATCTTCCTCTTACTGGAAGAGGATATATTTACAGCTGCGAGAATTTTCATCCAGACACAGGCTTATTTTAGTCTTCTTTCTGTTTGATTTATAATTCCTTTCCTGATACAGACAGACCGGGCTCCCATTACAATTATTTACAACTCAGTAAATCCAGAAAAATTACAATAATTTACTTATTTGTTTAATCCTAGATAACACAGAAAGTAGTTTCAGAATTGCTAAAGGGAGGAAAAAATACTAGGTAGATATGAAACTCGGTAAAGCCATTAACTTGTCCTCAGATTGCAGAATTATCCAGTATTAACATTTCCTCGTCCTCCTTGGCCTCCTTTTCTGCATCCTCCCCCATTTCTTTCTTTCCTACCCTTCTTTTTAGACATCCTGTATCTGTACTTGGCCATGAATGTTCTCTTCCTGTCTCAAGCCTCACTCATTCAGGATTATAGGCTTATGACACCATACCCTACTACAGGGTACTTTGCCCACCTGCAAGGATATTTTATTCATTGAGTGTTCATCTTTTAAAAATATGGCTTAACACTGGGAGGTGGTGGCACATGCCTTTAATCCCAGCACTCAGGAGGCAGAGGCAGGCAGATCTCTGTGAGTTCAAGGCCAGCCTGGTCTTACAGGGTGAGTTTCAGGACTACACAGAGAAACCCTGTCTGGACTTCTCCAGCTGCAAAAAAAAAAAAAAAAAAAAAAAAAAAAAAAGGCTTACCAGATTGAGTTGTTTTCATTTTGACCCATCCTTTTGTTGTTTGTTTCAGATATGTGTATGTGTGGGTGGCCTTTCCATGTTTAGTGTGAACCTATGATCTTTCTGCCTCAGTCTCCTGAGTGACCCTCCTTGTCTTCCTCTTTTTGTTGTTGTTGGTTGTTGTTGTTGTTGGTTGTTGTTGTTGAGACAGGGTCTCTCACCTTGTAGCCTGTTCTGGAACTTGCTATGTAGACAAGACTGGGACTAGAAGAGATCCACCTCCCTCTGGGTCTTAAGTGCTGGAACTAAAGAAGTGCTCCACCAGCCCGTGTAGCTTGAGTTTTAATTCCCATGATGGCAATTTTTCAGTTCTCAAATTGCTACTTTGGTCCTTTTTTTAAATTTTCTCTTGTTTTCTGCTGATATTTTAGTCTTGCCCTTAATCTTATTTTTTTTCCCTTGGTGTTTTTGAGACTGAATCTTACTTAGCCCAGGCTGACCTTGAACTCCCAATCTTCCTGCTGCCACCTGAGTGCTTCCGTCATAGGCACATATCACTGCTCCTGGTTGTACATTTTATCTCCTGGAAGATATTAAATATTTTACTTGGACATTAAAAAGCCTATATAAGCTCTCTCCCTTGTTTGGAGGCTCTGTGTTGTTTCAGGGTTCTCATTTCTGTTTTTAGTTTGTCATTTTTGTCTCTGTGTACTTGGTTAGTCTGGTTGTCAGATACTTTGTATCTGAAACTGTAATGCTATTTGAAAGGTTCATGTAAAATCTTGCCTGGAGTATGATGTTTATACAGGGCCAGCACCTAAGTCACTAGCAGCCGGGGGTCACTTTAGCCTCAGGTATTGGGGAGGAGCTTGGCTGGCTTCCAAGATGGATTGCAGGTTTTTACCCTCTAGAGTCACAAGGCTATGAGTAGGAACACTGTCCCACTCCGGGCCTTTTAGCAGCCTCTTCCCAAATCAGTGGGTAGCTGGAGCAGGAAAGAAGCCAAAGACTGGGCCCTTCCTGTGGGTGCTCTTTCTCTCCTGGACCCAGCTCTTAGTTCCTCCCCACTCCTTCCCTTTCTTCCAAGACAGTCTTGTGGTAAATAAGCTAGGCTGACCTTGAATTTAAGACCCTCCTGCCTTAGCCTCCTGAGTACTGGAATTTTGACTCAGATTTTTATAATCTTGTTAAAATTACCAGTACCTTCCAGGGATGTTTAAATATTTTATCTGCCTTGTAGTTGATCTCAGTTGGAGCAATGGTCCAAGTCTCCCAAATACCTAATCCATCATTTCTAAAATCAGACAGTTTATTTCTACTAACTTTATGTTTCTGTTGGCAGACCGAGGCAACGACAACTGGCTGATTAAATATGACTGCCCAATGGATAGTTCTAGCTGTCGGGTAAGAAATTGGTCTGTATCTCAAAGAGGAGGATGGGAAGGAGTAATCCTTAAACAATAGAAACACAAAATGGAGATTTAGGTCACCAAAGTTCATAAGAGTCAGAAACACAAGAGTTTAAAGTTAAGTTAATACTTGGTATAGTTTTTCAGTGTGTGTTTTAAGGAGCATCCTGCCGTGTGATAGTAACTGGAATAGCATCAAGAAAAGGAGTAGCTTTGGAGCACATTGTATACTCTTTCACTTGAGCTCCGTGCTGCGCCATAGCATAGTAAGGGTCTGAAAACTGTTACATTAAATGACTGCCTAATATTGGTTAGCCCAGCAGTTCCTACCTTCTTAAGCCATGGGGTACTTTTTTACAGAGGACTCAGACTCCACAAGTTTAGAAAAAGCTGCTTCAATGCCTTTTTTCCCCACAAGTTTTTTTCCCTTTTAAGATTCATTTCTTGTGTATGAGTGTTTTGCCTGCATATATGTCTATGTACCATATACGTGCCTGGTGCCTACAGAGGCCAGAAGAGTGCATCTGATCTACAGATGGCTGTGTGCCCACATGTGGGTGCTGGGAATCAAACGTATGTTCTCTGGAAAAGCGGCCATGCTCTTAACCCCTGAGCCCCATCTCTTCAGCCTCAACACCAGAGAATTCTGATTCAGGGATCCTAGAACTGTAACTCCTGTTCCTGTGATGGCGTTAGTGGAGCCTGAAGAAATCATGGAACCGAGTAGACATAATGTCCCTAGCATAGTCTCAGTTAAAAAGTGGAAAACTCAGTTCCTGTCCTTTTGTTTTCTTTTTGTTGTTTGGTTTTTTTTTTTTTTTTTTTTTTGTTTTTTTTTTTTTTTTTTTTTTGGTTGGTTGGTTTTCTTTTGAGACAGATTTTCTCCATGTAGCCCTGGCTGTACTGGAACCTGTTCTATAAACCAGGCTGGCCTTGAACTCACAGAGATCCACCTGCCTCTGCCTCCCGAATGCTGGGGTTAAAGGCGTGGGCCACCACTGCCCAACTTGTCCTTTTCATTTGTATATATCACTGAGGCATGACACCTTGTGTAGAAGCCAGCCATCTGTCATCTTGACTCTGTTTTCTCTCTAGAAAATGGGAACTTTGTCATTACCAGTGAAGTCATATTTGAGCTAAGTTCCACACTAAAAGACTTTGGCTGCTGATACAGATTTTTCTTTCTTTCTTTCTATTTTCAAGTTTCTCACTGTTTTACCTCAGAATGATTTACAACTATCTTTGTTTGTTTGTTTGTTTTTGTTTTGATTTTTTGAGACAGGGTTTCTTGGTGTAGTTTTGGTGCCTGTCCTGGATCTCACTCTGTAGACCAGGCTGGCCTTGAACTCACAGAGATCCGCCTGGCTCTGCCTCCCGAGTGCTGGTATTAAAGGCGTGCACCCCCTCCTCCTGGCCTATCTTTGTTTTTATAATTACCCTTCTAAGGACTCAGGCAAGCCCTGGGTAAATAACTGTACATGCCTCATGATGAGCAAGAGCCTCAAGAAGTGTATAGGGTACACACATGTAACCCCAGCACTCAGGAGGTATAGACTAGCCTGAGAACATAGTAAGACCACTGTCTCTGGGAGTTGGGGGTGGGCTCCTGAGAACCTTGAGCAGACTGTGAATGGAGAAGATGCCACTAATAAACCAAGTCCACAAAACAGAATGGAAACCACTAGAGGTTAGATCTAAGTGAGCCCAAGGAGGGGCTGAGATGAGGTGTATTGTTACTATTTTATTTATTTGGTTTTTTGAGGCAGGGTTTCTCTGTGTAGCCTTGGCTGTCCTGGAACTCACTCTGTAGACCAGGCTGGCTTTGGACTAACAGAGATCCTCCTGCCTCTGCCTCATGAATGCTAGGATTAAAGGTGTAAACCATCCCCATCCCCCCTTCTTGCTGTATTTTAAAGGGCCTGAACAAGTCTCTCTTTGTTCTGCAGGAAACAGATTGGGTGGTGGTCAAGGAGCCTGTTATCAAGGTGGCTGCCATAGACAATGGGCTAGCTTTCCCACTGAAGCATCCTGACTCCTGGAGGGCATGTAAGTTTAAGAGCAATGGGCTGTGCCCTGGTTCATTGCTGCAGTAGAACTGGCCTAAGCATGAATGAAATCCTGTAGCTTTAGGCCTTTTGTACAGTGGCCAGCAGCATATGGCAACTGTTCCATAGTATAAACCATTTACATTTTTACCATTTATATTCTCCACTGGAGGGTATGGGTAATGAGAGGGTGTGTAGCATGTGCAAGGCCCCTGGGTTCCATCCCAATTTCTGAAAAATAAATAAATAAGTCAGTATAAAGATGAGTGTTCTCATTTCTACTTCTTTTTTTTTTGAGACAGGGTTTCCCTGTGTAACAGCTCTGGCTGTCCTGGAACTCATTTTGTAGGCTGGCCTCGAACTCACAGAAATCCACCTGCTTCTGCCTCCCCAGTGCTGGGATTAAAGGCGTGTGCCATCACTGCCCGGCCACTTTGCATTTTTAAACTCATGTTTTCATAAGTTACTTCATTTGGGTCTCTGCAGATAAACTGCTGTCAGTGTCCTGTCTTCCTTGGTATACTCCATACCCATTTTAACCTAGAATCCATGAAAAGGAAAAGAAATACCAGTAGGGAATCACCAGCCCTCTTTGTAGCACCAGCCTTCATTTTCAGGATCACCTGAAAATCCAGCAAGTAGTTGCATCTAGATAGGCCTGTTTGGAAAGGTCAAATGTTACCTGGGAAAGAGCTCTGAGATTGGGCAGCTCTGGGTGTGGCTCCTGAGTGCTTTGCTTACTAGTCACGCAGTCTTAGGGTCAGCAGCACTTGGAGATGGATTTTGTTGGTTTTCTGTTGTGTGTCAGGGAGAGTTGTTTTCTCTTGGACAGAACCTGATAGAAGACCCAGGAGGGGGACTTTTCCAGCACCAGCTTTGATTTGAGCCTTTTCTCTTTTCAGATCCTTTTTACTGGGCCTGGCTGCCCCAGGCGAAAGTCCCCTTCTCTCAGGAGATTAAAGATTTGATCCTTCCAAAGATTTCAGATCCTAACTTCGTCAAGGACTTGGAGGAGGACCTATATGAACTCTTCAAGGTCAGCCCTGAGGAAAAAGGCATTGTCCATGGTTGTTCTGATTAGTCCTGAACAAGCCACGAAGGCTGTTGGCTCACACTTGTCTGACTTGAGTTAGCTGGAACAGCAGGGTTACCACATACCAGCTGGAGCTGGTTTGGAGGGATTGAAAGAAAGGGCAGCCCTAGTGCTAGGATGATGTAACTCAGTTTGTAGGGCACTTACTTAGCATACAGAAAGCCCTGGGTTCCATCTCCAGTACCACCTAGATCTTGTGTGGTATAGCACTCAACAGGGGGAGGCAGGAGGATCCGAAATTCAGGGTTCCAAGGGGCAGGAAATACTCTAGGTACTTCCCAGCCACTGCTTCCTTTCAATGTACTTACTAAACTACGCTTAGAAACTTAAGTGGGGGAGAAAAAAATGGGTTCCTGAGAGGCATTTACATGGATTCCTGAGAGGTATTCATATGGGTTCCATCATTTTCCTCTGCCCTTCTCTTACAGAGAGATCCTGGTTTCGACAGGGGCCAGTTCCATAGACAGATCGCTGTCATGAGGGGCCAGGTAAGCCTGGAACACAAGTGTGTGCCATATATATTTGTGACTCTCTCCTAAACTTCAGGAGAGAGGAAAGGTAGCCTCTGCAATCTCCTACCTCTTCCATAGTGTCAATACCAACCAGTGTTTGTTGATGCACTTGCCGAATGTTTAGCCTATACTAGTTGCTGGGTGCATTATTGGTAAATAAACCAGCACACCCTGGCCTCAAGCTGCTCAAGGCTGCATGCATCAGTCACTGAGAACTAGGCTCTGGAGCCAGATCACCCCACCAGTTCTGTGATGCTGGGCAAGAGTCTGATTTTCTTGTTTATAAAATTGGGAGTGACTGTACCTAGTCTGTTGTGGACAAGTGCATGAGAGAATTCATGGTAAGAGTTAAGTGAAAATACTGCCTGGCACATGGAAGTAGGCTGATCCTTGCTATGGTTATAATTTTGTCATTTGAGTTACAAGTTGTATTATTCTCCCTTTCTACTTCACCTTCAGACGGAACTACAGAAACTCGGCATTGTCAAAACTCTGTAGGCCTGAGCATGGAGGTGTACACCCTTAATTCCAGTACTCAGGAGGCAAAGGCAGGTGGATCTCTATGAATTTGAGGCCAGCCTGTTCTATATAGTGAGTTCCAGGGCAGCCAGGGCTATGTAGTTAGATCCTGTATCAAAAACAAAATGAAACTGTAGGATATTGGTTTCATACGTATTACTTAAAGAGAGCTCAGCAGTGAAGGATACAAACTGATCAGAGCACCTGGCTCTGAAGCCTGGCACTCCCATCTACTACGTATGAGATCCAAACCTCTTTTTCCATCCACTTTTCTCTTTGTATCATATACTTGCTTCATGGGGTTATATAATTAGATCTGTTGTTTGAAATAGTTGGAGTTTGAAATGCCTGATGCATAAAAGTACTCAACACATACTAGCTAATTATGACTTTGTAAATAGAAAAGTTTGCTTCTTGGATCTTTTTCTTCTCTGCGATAAGTTGTTATATAGCCCAGGCTGGTCCTAAAGTTACTGTGTAGTCCAGAATGACCATGAACTCTTGATCCTCCTGCCTCCATTTCCTAAGTGCTAGGATTGCAGGCATGCTGTAATTACCTTACTAATTTTAGTCTTCAAAGAATGTAGTAGTCTTTCCACCATAAGTATATGTTTACTTCTTTGCACCATTTAAAGGCTCCCAAAGAAAGCACCTTTGGGTTTGCTGAGTACATTTTCCTTGGAAATGGGATAGTGAAGACTTTTTTTTTAAACTTTTATTGATTTTTTTGTGGATTTCACATCATACATTCCGATCCCACCTATCTCTCTCTGTCCCCTCACATTCACCCTCTGCCCTTGTAACCTCTCCCCAAAACAAAACAAAATTAAAAGAAAAACCAAAAACCAAATAAAACAAACAACAACAACAGCAACAAAAATGAGAGAGAAAGAAGAATCTTGTGGAAGCTGTTGTGTGGCCCATTGAGTCACATGGTTTACCCTTAGTCCATTCATCTTTACTTGCAAGTGTTCCTTGCCATGAGTCATTGGTCTGTCTTGAGGCCTCTGGCTTCTGCTATGCCACCAGTAATGGGCTCTCCCTGGGGCTCCTCTTGGATATCCTGCTGTTGTCCTGTGTCATGGAGATCCTGCAGTTTAGGTCTACAGGTCTGTACCTTTCACATGCTCCAACAGTTCAAAGATAAGGTGGATGTCGGAATGGGCTAACTCATAGCCCTGCTTCTGGGTGGTAGCTGGGCTGGTCAGCCCGCCAGCTTTCCCTCATTGTTACTACCTGGGTGAGCTCTCCAGCACTGCCTTGGCCAGCCCATTCAATGCAACTTGCAGCAAAGATCAGGGCCAGTTCTCCTGCTCTGAGATCCTCAGATCTGGGTCACCCACACTCACATTGCTGTTTTGCCCAGGTGAGGTGTAGGGCCCTCTCTCCTGATTGCTGTAGGGGGCATAGTGTGTGTGCCTGTGCCTGTGTGTGTATGCATGTGTGTATTGGGGGGTGTTCAGCTCTCATGCCCTCAGGGCTGGCTCATCTGCACACCTAGACAGTCAAGGAGTTTTAAGAGCTGCCATCTTGTTAATCTGTCTGATTACCAATATTCTGTCTTTCTCAAGTAGAGCAAGGGCCTACCTAGGCTGGCATATCTTTTGGAAACCTTGAAAGCTACATTGTAGACTCTGGCATTACAGGCCTCAACATAAAGGAACTGGCTTGCTTCCTAAGATAATATAGGTAGCACCTCATCCATATCATTCTATCTTCTCCAACCCTTTCTCAGTCCCTTGCCAACACTAGCAGCCTTCCCATTACACCTAATCAGGGTTATCATCTAGGGTAGCAAAAGGTAGGAGGAAATGGCAGGTGAAATTTTATCTTTCTACTTTGTATTCTTAATGTCTTTGGAACAGCTTTTGTATTTTAAAACCGTTGGCAGAAAGAGGCAGCAGGCTGTGACACAAGCAAGGGAAGCATTGGTTCGAACAGAGCCATTGCAGTTTGATTGCATACCCAGGGCAGACCTGCAGTGTGTTCTGGCAGAGGACAGTGGGAAGAAACTTGCAAGGAACCTAGAGAAGTAATCTGACCTTGTGTCACTTGTTTTGAAACTTTTTGGATCAGTTGATGTGCTGTGGATAAATAATCATAGGGTAGGACTGTGTTGTGGCCTCCTGACTCAGAATCATTAGTTTGCTTAGTCACACACACTCAGCCAATTTACCTACCCTTCAGAAAGACAGGGCCAGGCATGCTGATGCTCTCAACATTGCAAGGCTGACGACGTAGGAAAGGCTTAGCTGAAGAGCAGCTGCCTGGTGTATATGAAGCTCTGGGTTTGGTCCTAGAAGACACAGATTTTAAAAGGAGGTGGGGGAGGTTGCAGGATCAAAAGGGGCTTTATTTTCAGCTCCCCCATATAACTATTCCACATTCCAGCTCCACAGCCATGCAGCCTGTTGCTTTGAACTTTCCACCTCTTGGTCATACTTTCTATTTTATGGCCTTAAAAGGCAAAACAGTATTTGTTTTCACTTGGGGTTCTACATCTTTGCTTGTTGCCCCCCCTCCTCCAAGCTGAGGACCGAACCAAGGGCCTTGTGGTTGCTAGGCAAGTGCTCTACCACTGAACTAAATACCCAACCCCCCACCCCCACCCTTTTTCTTTTGAGACAGGGTTTCTCTGTGTAGCTTTGGTACCTGTCCTGGAACTCACTCTGTAGACCAGGCTGACCTTGAACTCACAGAGACCTGCCTGGCTCTGCCTCCTGAGTGCTGGGATTAAAGGCGTGTGCCACCACTGCCCGGCTTGCTTGCTTGTTTTAAGGCAGGTTCTCACCATATTGCCCCGTTGGGTCTCAGATTCCTGGCTGCCAAGCAACCTTCTTGCCTTATCTTCCCTTCTGAAGTTGGAATTACAGGCAAACACAGTATTTTAAAAAATGGTTAGTGAGGTTGTATCTACTGTCCATGTATTGCCCATTCATATACCTACTTTCTTTTAACTTTTTTAGGATTATTTTAATTTTATTGTATGGGTGTTTTGCTTGTATGTATATCTGCACTCCACTTCAGTGACTGGCACCCATAACGGCCAGGAAGCAGGTGTCAGATCCACTGGTACTGGGATAACAGATGGTTGTGAGCCACCATGTGGGTGCTCACATGGTGGGGAAATTGAACCCAGGTCCTCTGGAAGAGCAGCCATTGCCTTTTAACTATGAGCCATCTCTCTAGTCCTAAATTTTTTTAAATTTTCATTTAAAATTATGTGTCTATATCTGTATTTGTATCTGTGAGTGTGGTACCTTCATAGTTCAGAAGAGGAGCTGGAGTTACAGGTCCACCTGACAAGGGTGCTAAGAACTGAGCTCAGGTCCTCTGCAAGAGCAGTACATACTCAGCCACTGAGCTACCTCTCCAGCCCTGTATTCCTACTTCCATGATGTTTCCATTGGTATTTATTTTGATTTGAAAGAGGGTGCTCTCTGCAGAGGCAGGCTTAGAATAGTAGGCCTATCTCTCACTCATTTTGTTTTTCAATACAGATCCTAAATTTGACCCAGGCTCTAAAAGACAATAAGAGTCCCCTTCACCTCGTCCAGATGCCACCTGTGATTGTTGAGACAGCCCGTTCCCATCAGCGATCTGCAAGCGAATCCTACACACAGAGCTTTCAGAGTCGGAAGCCTTTCTTTTCATGGTGGTAGCCCTAGAGGCCGGCAGAAGATTAATCCTGCAGGTGACAGGCTGGGAGCAAGCCTGGAGAGAAGCTGGTACACGGCAGAGCCTTTGAGGGCCCTTCCTCTTTGCTTGACGCCTCCCTCAGGGCTTTCCCACCCACAGGGAGAAGCACAGTCAGGGACAAGAGTACTCCTGGACCCTTCAGAGTGTTGGGGAGGCTGGCATCCAGGCAAGGTGGCAGGTGGCTGAGGAGGAGCAACTCCCTCCCAGTATCTGGTGGCAGGTTGGGAAAGCCCCATCTCCCTGACAGCCCTCTCCATCCCAGTTCCCTATTATATTCTGCATCAGAAAGAAACAAACTTAAATGCTTGTAGGAAACCAGATTAGATACTCGAGTCAGAAGCCCTTAATCTAGACCTCAGTTTGCTTAGACACCCTCTGATGCCTAGCTGTTGTTTACCCCCATGAACTGAGCTGTGTCAGAGGCCCGTCGAGGGCCCTCAGACAGAAGCCACACCTTCCTTTCTGTTTTTGCCAAATTGATCCTCCCCTTGCCACACTGGTACTGGCTTCTTGTGGCAGTGAGCAGGCTTTTGCTCTGTATCTGCCAGAGGCTCTGCACACAATCTTTCTGTTCTCTGCCCTGCTGTTGCTTGCCTAGCACTCAGCTGAAGTGAGAGAGGGCTAGCCTTGGCAGTTCTGTTCTGCCAAGCGGATGTGTAGCATGTAGAGGTGATTGACTTAGCCTAAGTGCATGCTGGGTGCTAGGAGTGTTCCATGGGGAGCCTGGCACAGCCTCACTCCTGGGTCCTTCCTTAGTCTCCATCCTTTTCTACCTGGTTTCTGTTGTTTTCACTATTTTTTCCAACTTTTAACTGAGGAGTTCAGTTTGTGTTCTGGAGTGGCTCTTGGTAGGGGTTGTGGGTCAGTCAGGTCATGAGTGGCAGGACATTGTCCTTGTTCTTCCTGTTATCACTGCTGCATGGAAAGCAACAGGACCTGTGTTCTGTCTCCTAACCAGCAGTGCCCCAGGGCACCTTGCCTTCTTGTCCTGGGCTGCTTTCTCCTCAGCTTCCCGAAGAGAGGCCTTCAAACAGTTCCCCAGTGCCTGCCCAGCTCACCGTGCATCTTCCTGCTTCCATGTGTCCTCTTCCTTGCCAGGTGTTTGAGCCCTTTCTACACCAAAGCAAAGAATTGGCTTCAGGAGGGGGTCAAAAGGGGCCACCTGTGGCTGAGAGGCAGCAGAGTTCAGACCCTGTGATGTGAACCCCTGAGGGTTCTCACATTCTACAATTGGTCAGGCAGCCTTGGAAAGAAATTGTCTTGAAGGCTTGAAAAAAACCAAAGAAAGGGAATGAGGACCACAGCTGTGTGTCTTGTCTGCCTGCCTGGCTCCCACCATCCAGGAGCAGAGCAGAGGCACTCAGCTCTCCCATCAGCTGGAGCAGGCTGCTCCCCATCCGGTCCAGTCTAGGAGCCAGCTTGCTATCGGCTTCCACTCAGCCAACATGAATCTCTGAGCACTGGATATGCATGCCCTGTGGACCAAGGCACCATTGTTTGCCCCATCCTGACAATCCCATCCAGCCCACTTAGACTCTGGCCTCAGAACCATGTTTGGGAGAATTCCTGCCTCCTGATCACAGGAGCCTGCAGGGGTCCAGGTACGTGACATTCTTCACAGACATCTTCACACCAGCCTGTTGGTGAGACTCCCCACTGGGGTACTGGAAACAGCCCAGGTGCCTGGAGAGAACCTGGTGCCCTACCAGGCTCTTGTGCACTGGCCTACTCCAGATCAGCTCTGCCATCAGGAGGAAATTGGGTCCAATGTAAGAGGGAGCCAGTGCCAGGCCTGATGGGCAAGGGTGCAGGCGTCCTTCCCTGCCTCTCTCGCTTGAAGCCTGTACTCAGGTTGTCTTGAATGTGGACTTTGGGAGTGCCAAGAGCCCAGAGTGTCAGGTACTTTGAGAACAGCGGCCCTCTGCCAGCCTTAGGCCTGTCCCCCATGTCTAGGAGTGGAAGCTGGCTGGTGAGCGCCGCCCCGTTCTTCTAATGCACTGTAGAAATTGTATGTATTGTATTTAAATCAATGCAAATGTATGAATAACAAATCCAATTCTGATCCCTTTGTCCAGTTTTCTTTGGGGGAAGGAAGACAAGGTAAATGCAGTTCTAACGGCAAAGAGTTAACAGAGACTTGACTCCTGAAAACCAAGTGTTTTCCTAAGACATTTCAAAACCTGACCTGAATCTATTGATGGGATACATCAATAGATGTATGGTATGATTACTTGTTACAGACTGTTCTCTGGTAGGGACTCTATAGTATTTGCCCTGGCAGTGGCTGGTAAGTGTAGAGCAGTGGTTCTCAACCTATGGGTTGTGACCCCTGGGGATGGGGGTGGGTGAAATGACCCTTTCACAGGGGTCACCAAAGACCATCAGAAATCACAGACATTTACATTATGATTCATGACAGTAGCAAAGTTGCAGTTATGAAGTAGTAATGGAAAATAACATGAGGAACTTTATTAAAGGGTCACAGCATTAGGAAGGTTGAGAACCACTGGTGTAGAGGTGAATTTAGAGATGTTGGTTTTTCTCCTTGGCCAGCAGAGGGCAGTCTTGCCATAAAGGTACACCACTGTCCCCGGGGGTGCTGGTTGGTGGGGAGGGGGAATGCTGGTGAGCACATAGTTTAGAATAGTAGGAAAAGCCCTTCACTCGAGGTTACCAGGCCATAGTGCCGGCTGATAATTGTCCTGTGCCATCCCGATGGTTGGCCCTTGATAGTGCTCCCAACAACTGCGTAATCAGCCAAGGGCCCAGTGCCCAAGTGCAGAGACCTCATTTTTCCTTGCAACTTACTCATTCTGGAAGAGGAAGCTGTAGTACTGGGATCTCCAGGGTTTGGGCTTGAGAAAGCACAAGCATCCGGCCAGATTTATCTCCTGGGGAATAGCCTGTCCTTCCCCGTCTGGGATTCTCCCTTTCTATAACAGACTCACAGAACTGTTGATGTAAATGTTTTTATTTTCCACTTCAACAGTTTTCTCTTTGCACTGGCCTGTGGCACAAGGGTGTGGGCAGCTGGCTGCTGCACGGGGACGGCCACTGGCAGTTGGTGGCAGGAACGGTGAGACGCTGCATCTGAGGCACATTCCTTTTACCCCAGGGGAACGCCCTGCAGCCCAGTTCTGCTGTGAGGTCTGAGGCATCGCCGAGCTTGGTAAGAACAGGTTCCACCCAGGGCAGAGTCCAGTGAATGCTGGTTCCCATCTGAGCTGAGGACAACCTTCTTACTACTGCTTTCATTGCCCAGACAGGGCCCTGCTCAGGCCTCCTCCTTGCAACTCCATAAGCCTTTTAGCAAAAGTCCCTGCAGTATCTGGGGAGGACCTCCCCACCCCATCACTGGGTCAGTGTCTGATCTGGTGGAGGTAACCTGTGGGACCCGGCTTATTCCAGTTTCGGTGGACTCTGGCACTTGTCCTCCGGGAGTTCCCAATCTGCTCGCCAGAGGCCTCATCAGTGGTGCCGTCCTGTGAGTCGGCCGCTGTAGATCCAGGCTCTGGCGCTCTGTTGGGAACAAGTGTGTGATAAGCCAACGTCAACACGGAGAGCAGGATGGAACCTTAAGAGTTTTATCCCTATAAAACACTGCTGGGATAAAAAGAGACTCAAGAACTGTACGACAACTCTTTCCAGCTCTGCATGTTAAGAGGGTGGGGCTGGATCTGAGAATGGGGCACTCAACAAGTCTCTCCTGGCCTTTTTCATTCATTCATGGCATCATAAGTCAGGCATAAATGGCATCAGTTAATGCAAGCCATGAAGACTGACTTGCCGTCTCAGGCCCGAGGACCTGTTCAATCTCTGCTGTTCAGAGTGAGGGGAGGATCCTAGAGGGGAATTTGTAGTGATGGCTTTAAGGCCAGGTCGTTTGCCTAGGTCCCCTGGGGCCCACTACTCCTGGGCTGGCAGTGCCGGGGCAGAGGTAGATGGCCAGAGAGAATCTCCTGCTTGTCCCCATAGGATCTCCACAGTACCTGCTGAGACCTCTGCTCTGGGTCCCCTGCATGCTTTAACCAGGCTTGCCTTTGAACAGTGCCCACTCCACTACTGGTCTTTTTTCCCCTTCCAACAGTACTCCTTTCTACTGGCCCAGAGTCTTGGAATTTGGTAGTTCTGCTTTGACTAGGCTTTCCTTCTCATGAGGACCACGGAGTCATGTGACTCCAACAATAACAATAGTCTTAGGTGCCATAGCAGTATAAACATGAACAAGTAGGTACCTTACAGCGAGGACAAGTCACTGGTTTGAGGTCACACCCAAGCAGGCATCCTTTCTACCTCTTCCCTCAGCCCTCCAGTCCCAGGCCCCTACCTCAGCCGGCTGCAGTGGTTCTGCCTCGGGGGCCTTTTCCTGCGCAGCCTCCTCAGGGCCTCAGCCACACGGTGATCCCCTGCACATTCCCAAATGATCTGGGCCCGCTCTTCAGCCAGCTGGTCCCCACTGCGCTGGAACAGGCCCTGGATCTGTACCAGCTCGGCATCCTGGAATATGTTGGCAGAGGCCTGCTTGCGGCCCCGGGCCTCAGTTGAAACCTGCCACAGGGGTGGCTCACTCACCACAGAGGCCGGCGTCCCCATCTCGGGTGCTCTGAGGACAAAAGGTGGGGACATAAGCACTCCTGTAGCCATCTACAGAGGCACTGTCAACCAACAGCTGGCCACAAATTGGACAAGGGGAAATTAAAATATAGTCACAGAAGATAGGTGCACATTCGCTATAAAAGAGGCAGAGTGGAATGGGGGCTAGGAATGTAGCTCATTTATTTGACAGAGTGCTTGCACAGCATGCATGAAACACTGGCTTTGAGCCCCAGTGCCACATAAACTGGGTATGGTAGTGCAGGTCTGTGATCCTAGCACTTGGGAGATGGAGGCAGGAGGATCAAAAGATCAGAAGTCAGGACTGAAGAGATGGCTCGGCAATTAAGAGCACTGTCTGCTCTTGGAGAGGACTGAGTTCAGTTCTTGGCACCCACATGGCTGCTCACAACTGTCTGTAAGTCCAGTTGCAGGGAAACCGGCCTCTGCAGGCACTAGGCATATACGAGGAACATGGATATACATGCAGTCAAACCATTCATACACATGAAATAAAACTAAATCTTAAAAAGGAAAAGCGACAAAGTCATCCTCCGCTATATATTGAGTCTGAGAACAGCCTGGACTACACGATGCCATGTTAAAAAAAAAAGTGACAATAAATACAAGCATTTCCAGTTTGTTCTCGACCTGCCTGCTCACAGCAGCAGCCCTCACCCTCACCTGCTGCTCTTTTGTTCTCTGGAAGAGCCTGAGTCATCACCCCGCCCCTCCCTTGCTCTGGCCTCCAGCTCAACACATTAGTCCAGTTGTTTCCACACACTGTCCTAGTTTCTATCCTAAGATCCCACTTTCTTTTCAAGACTTAATACCTAAGGTAAATCCACAGAAGACATCCAGATAAAGTCATAAAAACTCTATTTTTACCTAGAAAACAGGAATAAGAAAACCTGTGTGGTACTCAGCCCCCAGGAACTGGTGTATCTACAAGCTGAGAACAAAAGCTAAGTGACCAAGGCACATTTTCAGGCTAATGAGAAAGAAAAGGCAAGCGTGGGTGTTGACTGTGCACTGGATGGTGCGCATGAATCATTAATCCTCGAAATAACTCTAGAAGATAGAAACTGCTACCGCTATCCCAGTGCAGGGGAAGCAAGGGCTGGGGTCCAGCTGGACCCTGTCCCTCGACTGACCCCACAGTTTAAACCACTGAGCCACCTGTTGTTTGGGGAAGCATCTCATCCCACTTCCTCCATTTCTGTGAGGAGTGAAGGACATCCCTTATCCCACAAGGTGGAGTCCTGTGCAATGTTTCATCCAGTCACTAGTGTCAAGGTGGCTGACTAGGTGACAGCATCTTCAGCCTTGAACCTGTACTCCAGAAGAAAATCTCCAGTCTCCACTGAAGAATTCTAGGACTGCAGCTGAGCCCAGTGCAGAGAGGCACGTGGCTCAGGAGTCAAGGGTCTGTCCCTGGCTCTGCCATTCACTGGTTGATAGGCTTCAGGAATCTCCATCACCTCTGGGCTGATTCCCTGCCACTGTGGGAGCAGGCTGAGGTTGACGGCCTCAGAGGGCCTGCACTAGTGTTGAGTCAGTGAAGCTATGACAAGAATGGTCTGTGCTGAAGGGTAACACTGCTTGCCTGCTCCTTGTTGGCTGGGAGCTGCATGTGTGGACAGGTCTAACTAATTAGGTTCCAGAAAGTGCCTCAACTAACAGTTACCCTTCTCCCCACCCCTCGCCTCCTTGAAGGAAGGCCAGATACTGTTTTGCTACAGTGGGTGGAAGGGTCAGAATCCAGCAGACGTCTGAGATCACTGCCAAGCCCTAGGTAGACTCTTAGGCTGGTCTGGGGTGGTAGGAGATGGGGTGGTGTCCCTCTTTCAGAATCCGAAATCTCATCTTCTCTGAGGAGGAAGGACAGGTCATGTAGCAGAAGTCAGCAGGAGGAAACGGCCTGGGGCCTGACTGCCCACTTTAGTTCTAGCGTCCTCTACAGGGCTGAAGGCTTTAACTGGCCAGCCTGGGGGGGGGGGTGAGTTAACAACCCAGGGAAGAAACCACCGGACAATCCAGGGTCCAGCCTCAACCACCCCCATGAGCCTTGGGAAGCCTTGGCACCTCCAGATTTTTGAAGCCTTTCACTCGAGGGAGCCTCACCCTGGAATTCAGGCAGCAGAGTGAAGCTAGGATTCCAAGTAGGATGAGATGGTAAACATTGGGGAAAACTGATAAAGTGGGGTCATAACACTGTCAGCAGACACTTCCTGTCTCATTCACTGTGTTCAGGCATTCCTCTTCTAATTTCCGGGACGAAACCGTACTCCAGGAAGCTCAAGTGTATCCTTGAACAATGGCACTTTTTTAAACTGGAAAACGAAAGCATGGGGCTATTAAAAGATTACAGATGGAGCTTTCATTCTAGAGCTGATGTAGAAGATAAGCATGGGTCTGCGAGCAGATGAGGAAGAAGAGCTAGTTACAAAACACTTCAGTGGGACACTG